GAGGCTGCCTCGTACCCCCGGCTTCCGGAACTGTGCCTGGCACATGGTGGGTGCTTTGGACGCTTTTGCTGAAGGTGATGCTGGTGCACAGCTAATTCGGATTTATTCATTCAGGACTCGCTTCTTGAGCACCTACTGTGTGCCAGGCCCTTCTCTAGGCACTGGGAGGCCGCAGTGAACTCAGAGCCTGAGGGTGGGCTTGGGCCTAAGTCTTCTTGGTGTCCTAGTGTCTTGGAGGGGCCTGGCTCAGGGCAGGCGGCCTCAGAGTGCCATGAATGAGCGGGGATGAGTGTCAGGAGTGACTGCTGTCTTCAGGTCCAGTTTGCATGTTCTAGCTGATATAAAAAGGCCAGCTGCTGTCACATGAAATGCTGTCTGTTCCTTAACTGTGAGCGTGGGCTGCTTGAGCAGGGGGTGCTGCCTGGTGCTGGGTGGCGTTAGCGCCTCCCCCAGGCTCACGCTCACAGACAGACTGCTCGCAGACCCGTGCACTGCTGCTGTGGGCATTCCCCTGCTCCGTGCCTCAGTTTCCTCACCAGCAAGACAGAGATGACTCATTTTTTCTGAAAGGACTTAGCGGGCGCACGCGGTAAGCATCCAGCAAGTTGTCGTAAACGTAATCAATGTTGTTCCCGAGAAGAGACGAATGTTTAAACATGTTGGCCCCTAAATGACCGGCAATCGCACAAATACATCTCGAGAAAGCAGGGAAGCCGATTAGCTTTGACATCGGGTAACGGGAGTGATGGTGCCCCCGCCCCACCCCTAGCCCCGAGGAAGTCCGTGAGGGTTTCGTCCGGTGGGAGAGACGCAGTTATCACCTCCTGATTGGGCTGGCATTTGCGGCAGAGCCAGTGGCCCATGGGAATCCCATTTATTTTCTTCCCTGCGTCTGAGATTTTCTTGCATGTCACACACATCCCAAGACAACACTGAACTGTAACCTGAGGCTGCAGGAGAAGGAAGGGGAAAGAGCGTGGGTCTTGCCTCATGGACTGAGAGCCCACTGCGTCCAGGCAGGATTCTGAGACGCATTCATTTGCGGTGTCCTCACAGGAGGCCCCGAGCAATCGCCAGCATCACCCACTTTACAGGAGAGGAAACCGAGGCCCAGCGAGGTGAAGTCCCCGGGGGGCGGGGGGTGACTGTGGTAAGTGGCAGGGTGGGATCCGAAGCTGGCAGTCAGGTCTCAGGTCGGCGGCTCTCCACCAGGACACCCGTGGGGGCAGTCACACCGCATTCCGGTCCTGACTGTTATTTCCTGATCCTGTGACTTAGACAAGTCGGGCTGGTCTTGGTGTCCAGTCTTTTCATCAGTGATGTAGGGGTGCCAACGCCAGCCCCCATTTTCTGAGCTTCGAGTCCAGGCCGGGCCTGGGAGAGACGGATGAGGCTGTGTCTGTCTGTCTGTCTCTGCACTGTTGAAGACCTCATGGTTTACCAGTACGGGGGGTGGGTGGCGGGTCTTGATTGACACACACCGCAGTGTATCCCAGGAGCCCTAACAGAGATTTGTGTCATGAGTATGCTGGGGGTGTCCAGGGTGTGTGACACCCCTGTCTACCAGGGCAGGCTGCACGTCCACGGGGCTATTGTCTTCAGGTCTTGCGAGAGCAGGGCTTCGCTAGGTGTCTGAAGGGGGTGAGCGTTCCAGGCAGAGGACGGGGGGAAAGCGAAGCCACACGATGCTGTCTCGGGGGCTCCTCACACCAGCCCTCTGAGGTGGGAGTTCATATAAGTTAGGCTAACGCTGGTGGCTGCGACAGTTAACCCTGGGGTTGCAAGATGGAGCACAGGGAAAAGGGGCACTGTGGGGGTCCCCAGTGGGCACGTGGCCCTCCTGCAGGAACATAGGCTCCTTTTGCTTGGATTCTCACCTTCCTGCAGGGAACGGAAGGGAAGGAGGGTGGGAAAGGCATACCTGCCCCTTGACCTTGGCCTATAGCGGCAGGCATCAGTGTATTCACATCCTATTGGTCAGAGCCAGTCATGTGGCCATACTGGCTGCAAGGGCACCTGGGAAATGTAGTCCCTGTCTGGGAAGCCACTTGTCACTTCTCAGTGGAGGGGACGTGAATGGTGGACAGTTGGCTGGCTGTGCTGTGGTGTCTTCTCATTCCATTTTAGAGATGAGGCAATTAGGGTGCAAAGGGGTTCGGCCACTTACTCAAAGTTACACAGTGGGCTCAGAGCCAATCCCAGGGGGCAAAGTGAAGGAGGCCGGTCTTCCTGTGGGGCTGGCGGTGAGGGACTTGGGCCACGTGGCACTGCGTATTTCTCACCGTGCGGGATGGATGCCCACGGGCGCACTCCGGGCCTCTGGTTTTGGTCACGTGGCCCTGCTGTGGCCACCCGGGCCCCGGAGCCCGCCCCTGGCATGACCCTGGCACTGCCCTGCTCCGACCGGCCCTCCTCCTCTGCAGGTGCCGGTGCTGAAGCCCATGGACCTGATGGTGGAGGTGAGCCCGCGGAGGGTCTTCGCCAACGGCCACACCTACCACATCAACTCCATCTCCGTCAACAGCGACTGTGAGACCTACATGTCGGCAGACGACCTGCGCATCAACCTGTGGCACCTGGCTGTCACCGACCGGAGCTTCAGTATCCTTTCCCGCCACCGCCCGGCGGCCACCTCCCGCGGGCGCGGTGGCTTCTGGGCGCGGGTGGCTGGCGTGGTTGTACGCAGGCTGGCTTGGGGGCCTCTGCTCCGTCTGTCTTTGGTGAGTCCCGTGTGGCTCACGCTGTGCGAATGAGGCCCAGCTACGGATCAACACTGCTCCAGGGTGGCCGACGTCCCCAGCATCCTGGGACCTCATCAGGGATGAAGGAGGGGATGAGGGTCCTGGGGTCAGCCTTCCTGGAGGAGGGTCGGTTGACCCATCTGAGACCCTCGACAAAAGGCTCCACTGGACCCTCCTGCTCCCGACGTCCCATTCAGGGCTTAGTGACAGCTGGGGTGTCAGAAGCCTACCTGGTTGGAGTCGAGGTGTCTGGGTGAGCTAGGGGCAATAGTTTTGACTGTAGTTTTCCCCACTAACTGGTGAGGAAAGAACTATTGATACCCGAGCATGGGCCTGGGAAGGGGCTGGGGCTTGACCCTGGGGGCCTGCAGTGGACAGAGCAGGCGGATTGCTGAGCTGTCGCTGTTCCGTAGACTAATAATGATACTAGTGATTACAATGAGGCTCTGTGTCTGACATTAACATGGGTTAATATGAACTCAGTTCATCCCCACAACAGCCCTGTGAGGTAGGTGCTCACATGACCCTCTACAGATGAGGAAACTGAGCCACAGAGAGCCCAAGCTAACTCGCTCAAAGCTCACGCCTTCTGGGTGTCATACCTCCGGCCCTCACGTCCTCGTTTCCGACTTTTGCAACAGAGTGCTCTTCGCGAAGGATGCTGCACAGGTGTGTGTGAAGAAGGCTCCGATGCGTGAACCAAATAAAGGTCCCTCCCCTCCTGGAGCAGACAGACAGTAGACCATTAATATAATAAATGAGGAGACTATCTAGCCCGTGAGCAGGTGGGAAGTGCTCTGGGGAACGGGAGGGACCAGTGAGCACGGTGGTGTGTGTTTCTCCCGCCATGCTTGGCTGTGGCTGTAGGCGTGCGGCGGATGGACAGTCAGCCAGGGCGGTGGTTTCACCAAATGAATAAACAGACATGGGCTGATGATGTATGCAAGGGAGTGAGAATAATGAATGACCCTAAGATCTAAGCCAGGTGAGGCAGCGAGGGCTGGTGACAAGAAGGGAGCATCAGTGGATTGGGGTCCCCGTGGGAACCTGGGGGACTCCCCCGGCTTCACGGAGATCCTGCCACACGGCTCTGTGTTAAATCTGAGTGTAGCCTCTTACTCTGCGAAAGCGAGTTGTCAGTTGACCAACACATAACCGGCCCTTGGAGAGGGAGGCGTGTGTGTTACGGAACCAGTGGGCTCTGCGGGAGTCCTTGGTGGTTGTGCGAACCTCCCCTCATGAGACCAGCTCCCCAGGGAACCACACTGCATGGGGCCCTCCCCATGACCTGTTGCTGCCTGGCCACCGGAGTGACGAGACACAGGGACCCAGAGCAGAGAGACCCAGCCCCCGGCCCAGGGAGTCCAGCTGCCCCTTGCGGGGAAGGTGTCGGGACTGGGGGCTGCAGGTGCAGTGATGGGTCCGAGAGCAGCCGAGTAATGTGAAAAGTGTGTTTCATGCCCATCGTGGGAGGAGGCCACAAAGGCAGCTGTCACCACGCCGAGCTGGGGAGTTGCTCTGAGTTTGAGACATCCTTTGAGCAAGTACCTCCTGGGGGATTCGAGACCTGGGGGTTCACCTTCCTTCAGTTCTTGATCTTGGGTGTCGTGACTTGTCCTGATGCTGAGTGTTCAGTCCTCCGGGCCCCTGGAAGCTCTCTGTTGCCTCCCGTGTCCAAACAATAACACTTTCCACTTCAGCGGAATTGATATTTTAGCAAAGGTTTTAAAGAGAAAGGAAAACTTTTTTAATAAAGGAGAAAAAGTAGGCATAGTTTTGACCACTTGACAGGAGGAAAGCAGATTCAGAAGGCTTTATCTTGGATAATCCCAGAATTGGCTGCTCTGGACGGAGGGAGGGGGCCTGGTGCTTCCAGGGGCTTTGCTGTGTACAGGGCACATACACAATGCAGTGCCTCTGTCTGTCCCCAAGGCTCAATATTGGAGTCCTCCCAGCCCCCCTCCTTTCTCTCACCCAGAAAACGGAAAGAGGTGCCAAGCCCTTCCATTCTCTCCCAGTGGCTTTAGGATGACCCTTCCTCTCCACTGCATGAGAGGCCCAGCTCAGGCTGATTGGACTTCTGGTCTGACTATATCGGTCCCCTGCTTAAAGCTCTCGGTGGCTCCCCATCAGCTTCTGGACAAAATCCAAATCCCTCGATGGTGCCTTGTGGCACTGGGGGACCGGCCCCTGCCCACCTCCCAGGGTCCTGTGCATCCATCCGGCTTCTCCCTGCCCACCTCCCCGGGGTCCTGTGCATCCATCCGGCTTCTCCCTGCCCACCTCCCCGGGGTCCTGTGCATCCGTCCGGCTTCTCCCTGCCCACCTCCCCGGGGTCCTGTGCATCCGTCCGGCTTGCCCACGCCTTCAGGCCACTGGGGCTCCCTTCGTGTTACGGGCTCGGGTCAGTGCTCTGCCTTCTGCTGTTCCTTCTCCAGATCGTCCTTGACCCTCTCGCAGCCAGGCTGGCTCCTGTTTGCCCCCTTCACCCAGTCACATCTGCTCTGTCCACTCTGTGCTCCTCCCGGGCCAGTCACAGCCCCTCTGGGCCCACACTTCCTGGTCACCGTGGGATTTCCTCATCTGTTGACATGACCACCTCCCCAGATTTCCGGTCTGAGCCCTCCCCGCATCCCCACGCAGAGTGCAGGGCCTGGCCCATAGCAGGTGCTTATGAATGGCGGCTGTAGATGGTGACTCTGGAGCGAAGAGGGTCAGAGTTTCCATCTGGTCTTAGGGTATGGACACTTCCCCGTGAATGTGGCCTCCGGGGCGCTCAGAGCCTGGACACTACAGGGGAGCAGTCTGGGCACCGGCCTCTGGTTTCATTGCTTAACTTCCTGGGCGTCAATTTCCACTAATGTAAAATGAGCCAAATTCCTAAACTTCAGGACATTTGTACGGAATTCACTGAAAAGATCCTGGTGCACACCGGGCCCCGGCGGGGGGCAGCGTTATTTTCCGTCTCAGGCAGCAGCCCCTCTGATATTTGAGGCTGATTCTCAGAGAATTCCTGCATCCTTTCCGATCGTTCCTCCCCAGCGCCATCTCTGCATCTGTTTAAACCTCTCATGCCCTTTAATGCCAACTCTTTGGGTCCGTTAGGCAGCACTGGGCGGTTTTCTTGAGTTCGAGGCGTCTTAAAGGCAACAGATCACACGGGAGGCCTCAGCTGACGGACCTCTGCTTTCTTTTGAGCACTGGACAATTGTAAAGATGGTTCAGTTGATTTTCGACCTCCCGAGCGAGTTCTCGTGGTGGAAGCTGGCATTACATCAAGCCTCAGTCTGGAATGACCTAGAGCCTGTGGTCCAGCTGTGCATCCGAGACCCTGCCAGTCACTCGGCCCTTCTAAGCCTCGCTGTGCTTATGCTGTCAGTGAGATGTGCCTTTGGTGCTGGTGTCTGTGAGGATAGGACGCTGGTGCGCCCAGGGCCTGATGTGCTGTAGACACTCGCCCACACCAGCCCATCACCCACTGTCAGGCACCCTACAGGCTGCCTCTTTTCATCCTCCCGCGGTACCGCTGTACAGAGAAGGAAACTGGGGTGCGTTTGCTCAGAAATGCCCCAAGTCGGAGTACCCCAAATCAGTTTTCCGCCCAGAAAGCCTGGGTTTAAACTGTGACCAGCACATCGCTGCCCCGGGGCCTCGGCAAAGCCAGGGAGTCGGTGCGGCCGCGTCGCCCCGCCCAGTGCGCCCGTGCTCTGTCCACGGTGCTGACTCTCAGCAGCCAGCACTGCGTGGCCAGGACCATCCTCTCTGCCCCCTACACCGCGGTGGCCTCTTAGGGAGCACTTACTCTGTGTCAGATGGCGCTCTGAGCACGCTGCACGTGTCAGCCGATGGAATCTACCTGACGACACTGTAGGCTTTGTTAAGGCCACACAGAAAGGTCCCCCGCTCATGGCTCCGCTGCCCCCAGCGGTCTGGGACCTTCTTCCCTCACAGGACTGCACTGTCATTGTCAAGAAGGTTCTGAGCAGAGGCAGGAGGAGGCTGTCGTGGGCTAAATTGTGTCCCCCCAAAGTCTGTGTGTTGAAGTCCTAACCCCCAAGACCTCAGAATACGACTATATTTGGAGATAGGTCTTTAAAAGAGGTGATTCAGGAAGAACAAGGCTGTTGAGTGAGGCCTTAATCTAACATGATTGGTGAGATTCGGACACAGAGAGACACCGGGGAGGTGCACACGGAAAGCCACGTGAAGACACAGCAAGAAGGTGGCCACGTGCAGGCCAAGGAGAGAGGCTGCAAAGAGCCCAACCCTACTTACACTTTGATCTTGGACGCCTGGCCTCCAGAACTGTGAGAAAATAATTGTTTGTGGCATTTTGCTAAGGCAGCCTGTAAAAACAAAGCCAGAGGCACAGGTTGCCAGGAACCAGTCTGTAGGATCTGACGTTTGGCCTGAGTGCTTACAGCTCACGCTCATAGCCGGGTCATCTTTTGGAGAAAATTTGCCCAAAACACAGCTTTGTTGGCTGTGCCCTCGTGAGACTGCCTTCCCGGGCACCCGCACTCCCAGTGTCCCTGGGAGCCTGTGGGGGAGGCTTCCCGTGGTGTGGCTCTTGGCAGAGCTGCCTCGGTCCTCACTCCACGGCTGCTCTGTCGCCATGGTAACGGCTCCTCTATCCTGAGAGCGTGCTCTCCTGGAGACATCTGGATCAACTACGCTTTGCTCGGTTAAATCGATGGAGCCCTGGGCCGCATCCGTCTCGCTGCCGAGCCCCCTCCCGCTCTCAGCATCCACCTTTTGGAGGACACAGGCCAGTCCTGTGAGCCCAGGAGCAGCGCCCTTGGGGGTGCTGACCCCGTGGGGGAGGGGGGAGCTGCATGTCGTGTGGAGATGCAGCCGCTC